ACAAACAAGACTTGACACTTCTTCATTTTCGTACTTCAAATGTTTTCTCAGAAAAAACCTAACACCTTACCTGTCTGTCAGAACCATCAAAGTTGCCATATTCAATAGTTTTCATGCCAGCATCGGCCCAGTACAGGCGTTTGGTCTCATAGTCAATGGCGAGCCCATTGGGCCACGTCAGATTGGATGAAATGATGACAATTCGGTTGGAGGCGTCCATTCCCGCACGCTCGATCTTTGGGTTGGCCCCCCAGTCAGTCCAGTACATGAAGCTGAGGAGAAAGAAGGAACAAGTTAGAACTCCATGTGTTGTCCAGGTTCACAAGCTGTTTCTGTTTAAATGTCATCATCTTACCCTCCGATCGGATCAACTACAATGTCCCGCGGTCGGTCCAGGTTCTCCCATATCAGGACAGTCCGCATGCTCCCATTGGCATTAGAAACCTCGATACGGTCAGTACCTGACACCCAAAAACACGAGCAGGTTAAATTGAGGAGCACTCCCTGCTGAGCTGGTCAATGAAGAAAATGGATATAAAATGATATTTTATGTCAGAATACATGAAATGAGACTTTTTACCAGCATCAGTCCAGTAGAGCTTGTTGGTCACCCAGTCAATTGCTAAACCTGCTGGACTTTCCAGACTGGTTTCCACCACCACCTGTTTTAAAAAGAAAAAGATCAGCTCAGATCCATGCTGACAGTTACCGTTTACTGCTTTGATGGCAATATTTTCATGTCTGTTTTATGTTATTCTGTAGTAAACCTGCAGCAGTGAGTTATGAATGTGCTGAAGGCTCCTACATTCTACAGAGGATGACCAGCTGCTGCTCTTTCACCTCAGCCCCAGTAGATGGCAGTAATGTATAAACCTAAATCTGCTGCCGTCCTCCTCTGCTCCTTTTTTAAGTATGGGACAGATGAGAAATGACGAGACTGCAGTACTGAGTTCAGTCAACCTGCAGGTATCACTGACCTCCTGCTTGGTGCCGTTCCACAGTGCTCTGTTGATGGAGTCGGTGGTGACGTCTGTCCAGTAGATGTAGCCGTCTTTGGAGTCCCAGTCCAGCGCCACGGCATTGCGCACGTCAGCCAGAGGAATGACATCATCGGACATATCCTCTGTGTCGAAGCTGATTCGTCGGATGTCCGTCCTTCGGGCAAAAAGCAGGAACTTGTCAAGACCTGATTAAAGACCAAAGGTCTTCTGTCAGTCTTCTAGGTTCAACAGTGGGGTCAGCATTAAACACAGTAAAACAGCTCTACCACAAAGACATGTAACCACTGATTAATATCACAAATCCCACCCTCTGCATTAACATAATTAAACAGAGTCATGAGAATACTTTTTATTCAATTTCAAGCAGCATGACTTTACAGTGGGGAAAAAAATGAAAACGCTGCATTTTAGCTCAAATTTTCTTCAGCTGCTCAACCATAACATGCACTTGAACTCACTTTAAATGTTCCCTAAATGAGATCTCACTTTACATGCAGTAGGTGTCTTATAATTGTCTGCACAGGCATTTTTCATCTGAAATTTTGATTCCTCTGACAGCCTACACCTTAATCGTGGGGCTGATCAGATTAACCATGTGTTACAGGATTATTTTCTCTTCATTAGTGTGAACACACGGTTCATTAGTCAAAACAGAAGACAGAGCTTTTTTTTTTTGTTTTTAATTTAAGATTCCAAATTATTGGCTATTAAAAATGACTTTAGTATGAATAGATGCCGCTAAAAACTACTATAATATTAATATAATATTAATTATAATAATATAATATTAGCAGTATTTCTGTACTTTCCACAACAAACAGTGGAGGAACTCACCAGTGGCACAGCTGTAACTGTCCACCTTCTTGAAGCCGGTGGGACAAGCACAGGTGTACGTCTTGTTGCTGGGGAGACACAGGTGGCTGCAGCCTCCATTGTTGGTGCCACAGCGGTTCCTGCCACCTAGAGAAGAGACAGGCAGACACAACTCAGTATATCACATGTAAAGTGGTTCAAAAAATAAAAACCCCTCAAATCCACTTTCTCCTCAAACCCAGGGCAACAAAACAAATAGTCACACTTCCAAAAATGTCTGCCTCCTCTTTCATTAAAAGGTCACAGCGTGTGGGCTCTGTTCACTTAGGTTCTGAGTCGGCTTTTCTTTTGTTCTGATCAGACATGAACTCACATGACTTGACTAAATCTTGTCTAAAAGTGCCTGACCTCCCCCTGCCAGCACGGAGGCAGCTCACAGTTCATGTTAGTGTCGGGGCTGCTGCAGTATTTTATCAGCACGTTAACAAAAACTTTCTCTTGGCCGGACGTCAAGTTCAACACGGTTTGTTAGCAAAGTCTTTGCTATCATGCTGATGAAAAACACACATCAACTGGCCGGTTCACGGCAGGGTCTTGACACTGGTGCAACAAATCATTCTATGGTGGGGTTCGCCACTGTGTGAGGCAAATTTTTCATTTCTGCCTGCAATGATATCCTCAGATAAGTCTCCCATTTCTGCCTTCAACTAGCTCATCTTCCTTCCTCTAATGCTGATATTGTGTTTGATGTTTTGTTGCTCACCATTTAGCACATCATCTACTGCTACAAGCTGCAAACTTGGATACTTTAAAAAGAGAGTCATTGCTCCCAGCCAGTCACTGGCAGATCTGAAATAATGGGAAGTAAACATATCCAAATATAATGAGATTAGACTAGACTCCTTCCTTTTGCTTTTAACTCAAGCTGAAGCTATGTACAAAAGAGCTAGCACAGCTTCCTGTTGCTGCTGTGTGTTACTGTCCGATACATGAACCCAAAACTGCAGTAACAGTCTCAACTGAGAAAAACCTACACAGGTAAAATGCAACATAATCAATACAGACACTTTACTTTTCTTTGTTTAGACAAGATCAATGCAATGTTTTCTGCTGTTTCACTGTGATGCTATTGATTGTTCTGATTCAAGCTGCTGCTTTGTGACCTTGCAGAAAGTTGCAAACAGCTGTCAGCTGAAAAACTAATAATTCAGAGAGAAAAATATGAAAAATAGTCTATTTAGTTTGTGTATCTGCAACCCATCCCCAGATAAGGCCTTTATTTAACCAGACAAAAACCTTATTGAGAACAAAAATATCATTTTCAAGTTTTGTACATATGTAACAAACATCAGTCTGAGTATCCAGCTGTTGACCCAGCCCGATACTGACCTGCAGGCTGCCTCTGTGGGTGCAGTGTGTGGATGTCCATGGGAAAGTGCAGCTTGTTGCGGATTATCTCTTGGTTCTTTCCTGTGAATTTGTTAGCGCTGTTGATGCTTTTGGTGTGCCAGTCAGTCCAGTAGAGGCTGTCCTCAAACACTGTGATGGCAAATGGGTGGGGAAGGCCTAAAGAGAGACAAGAACAGAGTTTAGCAAGGTGACAGTCCAAAATGACATTTATGCAAACAAAAAAAAAAGGAGAGAAAAAAGAACCCCCCAAACACAGAAGCTGAGTTTGTCACATTTATAATAAGCAAAGTAATGATTCAATGAAGTTTCAGTCCTAACACAAAGAATGGAAAGAGCACATGCTACATTTGGCCTGTTCCACTAACTCTCCAAACATCCTTCCATTCAGAGCTGTGGGCTTGGCTGATGTCATATCATCCCCATTTTAGAACTGCTTTCAATTACACTGCCTCAAACCACTCTGTAGTTGGTTAAGTTGTGGCAAGAGTGTCCAAAACCAGAGGCGCTTCGTAGGTTTTCCATACATAATGTGACTTTTCCATCCGGAAACTGAATGTAAGAGAACACGCTTAAACCAGATCAGACTGATGCAGACTAGTTTTGCTCATGTGTCCACAATAAAACTTTACTCACAGATTTTAAAGTGAAAATTGAACCAGGACAGGATATGTGTGAGATTTCTGAAGGAGAGATCGATGCCTGCTCGATGTCTAAATGCTCTTTAACATCTTTAACATTGTTTTTGTATTAACAGAAGTACTCTGGCAATAAGACAAAAAGCTTGCCTTTTTTTCTAACTAACCACTCAGATTCACTGCTTAAATGGAAGATTTTCCTTGAACATCTGCGGCTGAATATTTAAAAATCTAAGTTCAAGCATAGCTGTTTGACGAGGCTTCATCTCTTTGTTTGAGAAAAGCCTCTTCAAAGTTCGTCAAAGCAGAGAAAAGAACAAAGAGAAAATGCAAATGGGATAATCAGTCGTGTCATTTGTTGTTCCAGTCCTCCTTGATATTAATGTTTACACGTGAAAGCTAACTGCTTTTATTAAGATTGGAAAAATTTGCTCCAAGGCTTTAATTCTGTGGCTATTTCTGTTCCTTACACGAATAGTTGATTTGTGGTGTGGACTGTCACAGTCCACACCAGGGGAACCTGTGCTGATATGTCTCCTGTGGGAACATCACCCTAGGGTGACTCCTCCACACTTGTCCAAATCAATGTTCTTTTTCTTTCACCAGCCTTAATCTTCCTCCAGCACAGAAGCCGCAAAGCCCAGTCGGATGGGCACGCCGAACGGATGGAAAAAGTGATTTCTGCTGCCACACAGAGCCGCAGTGGTGTGGCGAGTGTGCTGGCGCACAGCTTTTAAAAACAGCGCTGCTAGTTTAATGACAGTGTTGTACGGCACAGCAGAAATGTTAAGTGGTAAACGTCAAAAACTGGAGCGAGATCACAGCGATAATAAGCCACAAGGATCAGAGTATCTGGGTGCGTTTTGTGTGACTGTTCGATGAGGTTTATTCAAGAAAACTGAACAAAAGAAATGAAATAAAATAAAACAGCACCTCTACATTTGCCCTCGTCTCTTCTTTTCAAACAGGTCCAGGTGTGTGTGTGTGTGAAATGATAGTGGCTCAACGTGTGTTTTCTGATCTTATCTCAACATGAGGGAGACAATAGTACACCCAGTTCCCTCCTCTTAGTCACCAACATCTCAATGATTGTTTTGATATGATCAGCTCATTCCTTGTCATCTCTGCTCCTGCTCCTTTTTTGTTCTCCCCAGGACAGCTGCAGGAGCAGCTGCAGGAGGACAGGGCATCAAACATCCCACCAAGCCTCTCACAGCTTGCCTGAATATGTCTCACTTCCTGTTATAGGTCACTAGCAACACAGCAAGGCCTCCTGGCTGGACAGAACGCTGCTCCATAGTGTGATGGCAAGTTTCAGGGTTAGGTTTTTCCAAACAAACAAAAAAAGCTATAGTGATATTAGGAATACCACTTTAATGCATTTTATCTGTAAAGCTGAACCATATTATAGCAGAATCTGGTTTGTCTTGCTGAAACAAGTAGGGCCATTGGTTAAAAAGACATCACTTGGACAGCAACATATATTGCCATGTGCACTAATGCATATCAACACAGATGGATTACACAACAGTAGGAAATGCATTTCCTTACAGTAGATGTCTTACTGAAAGTGCTGCAACTAAATTTAACGATACAATTCTTCCACTGTTATCGTCTTCAATACCATGTGTCAACACTGTAGAGCAGCTACCTGAAGGCCGATTATCTTGTTGTGTTATATCACAACTGTGTATGACTGTGGATACTGTGCCTCCACTGAAAAGAAAGCTTCATATCAGAAGTGCTCGACTTCCCGAGCCTGGTTCTGCCCAAGTTTTCTTCTTGACCGTTCCTTCCCATTGTCCCTAAGTGCTTGCTCATAGGTAACTGTTGGGGTTTTCTCTGCATTACTGTTGGGTCTTTACCTTACAATTTAAAGCACCCTGAAGTTACTGTAGTTGTGATATAGCGCTATAGATATTAAATTTAATTCATACCTGTGAACTAAAGTGCTGTCCACAGGGGCCATTATTTCATAGTTTAATTTAAGTCGACCTACATATACCCTATTGGGTATATTAAATGTCCAGTCGTCTGCCATACAGCATTGTGCATTTGTCGAGTCCAGACAAAAAATATAAACACTCCCCCACCAGCACACAAGTATGCAATACCCTATCTCTTCCTGTTCCCTACCTCGTGGTGTACAGGTGTGCAGACAGGATAGTGGTGATTACCGTGACAACCGCCTATGCTCCAATTCCAGTTACAGAGGAGCTGGCAGAAATCCAGATAGTACACACACACGCACACGCACACACACACACACGCGCACACACACACACACAGAACTATAGGTTCAGAGAGATAAATGCTTGTTAACATTCCTTGACGTAGTGGCTCAGAATGTAACCATGCACACACTCAAAGACACACACAAATGTCCTATTTTGTCCTGTGTGTTGTCTGAGCAAACAGAGGCTGTGGAGGAAGGACAGGGCCAATTACAGCCTTTTATCCTGAGAGCACACATCATTAAGGAGAGCTCAAAGGGCTGATGGTGTGCACATACACACATATACACACACACTCATCAAACAGTCCCCCTGCCACTCTCTCTCTCTCTCTTTTCAAACTCTTAAACTCTCTTCATCATCACTGATTCCACACTTTTTAGTTCATCAGCGGAAAAAAAATCCCCAAATTGAAAGTGACTGTCAGCTGAGACCTGCACTCATCCTGATTCAACTTGTGTTGTGTAATCGCTGCAAACTGCCTAACCTTTATATTAAAAAAACAGCAAATTTTGAATCTCATGTCCTATAAAACTGTGACTGTCCAAATGCTTGCGGACTTTAGAGTCCCACCCATAAATCTAATAAGCTGGTGTGTGTGTGTGTGCATGTGTGTGTGTGTGTGTGTGGGAGTGAGTGAGTGAGAGAGAGAGTACCCTGCCTGCTTACACTGCAAGAGCTCCACTTTTAGTGTGCATATGCACTTCTCAGTTGGAACCAAGAACATAAACAGAGCCACACATTTGGCTTTACGTCGTCATTTATAGATTGTGTGTGTGTGTGTGTGTGTGTGTGTGTGTGTGTGTGTGTGTGTGTGTGTGTGTGTGTCTACACTTCAGCGGTAACCACATGTGCTCTTTAATGGAAATATGTTTTTGATTAACGCCACATGGCATAATGGAGTAATGAGGCATCAGCGTGCTACATCCGACATCCATCCCTTTGTTTACCGCATGTGTGTTTCTTAGCGTGAGTGTGATAATTAATGAAAATTGAGAATGAGAGCCTGAATTCCAGCCAGACCTCTGCGCACCACATACAGCATCTCTTCTGTTTCTCCAGCCTCTCTCAGAGCTTTTAATAAAAAAGAAGAAAAAAGAATCCTTCAGCAGCTTGTGAGGTCATATGAATTATGAGCATTATGTGAGTCATTCCAGTTTGAAGAACTCCTTTAAAGACTTGTGCATTATCGATCGTATTCACTCTGGTGGCAAAAATGAAAACTTTTTGAATCTGTTGAAGATTGAATCTACTGTTGAGCTTCTGGTCCAAACATAATTTGCGTGTTTTTCACTTCACATGTACTTACACTTGGCAGTTATGTTGTCTTAACTGCTGAAATTAGTCACTCGAAAGTGCTTAAATGTAAAACGTTGCCATCCTTAAACCTGGTCACTTACAGAGGAAGAAGAACCAGCCACAGCAGGAATAAACAGGTAAGGAGCTGAAAGCAAGGCTGCTCAAGAGGCCCATCATTTTTGGGTAAAGCTTTTGACTTTGCAGCCCCACTCTTTAGGCAACTAAGCTAGCTCCAGAAAACGTGTGTAACAGTCAAGACTAGGAGTGTACCTTGGCTGATGACGGCCTTGCGGTTGCGTCCGTCCAGGTCAGCTCTCTCAATGACATGGTGCTTGGCATCCACCCAGTACATGCGGCGGCCAGCGTAGTCTATGGTGAGGCCGTTGGGCCAGAACAGGTGTGTGTCTGCTATGACACGGCGGTTTGAGCCGTCCATGTTGGAGTACTCGATGCGAGGTGTGTTACCCCAGTCGGTCCAGTAGATCTTACTGAAAAGAAAAATGGGGCAATCACGCTCAGTTTGTTTGTTCACAGCGGCAGACTAGATGGGTGTAAATTAGTTGATAGTCATGGTGTCCATTAAAGACAAGAGGCAAGCAGACGGCTGTCAGGATTCTAGACACAACAGATGCCTGATTTAACAAGAAAAGTCTCCTCTGTCCTCATCATTCATGTCCTCCCCATCAGCATTCATCTGTTCTGTCCGGCCTCAGAGGGAGGATACACTCTTTTTTTAAAATATAATTTTCAATTATCCCATGCAAATGAGCAACCTAATAGGCTGAATGAGTTTTCTAGCTTTAAATTTCTCTGGGGGTTCATCCAAAACTCTCTCTTGCCACTGCAGCTCATGAAAGCTAGGAAGAAAACACACTTAGCTGCTGCCCCTTTCATGAAAGACTTGTTCCACACAGATGCTTGCCTGTGGGTATGGCTGTGCCGCCAAACGTTAATCCCTGCTCTGCTGCTACACTACAACTGGGACACATCCAGAGGGGATATGTATATATGAGTGTGTGTACATCTGTGGTGAATTATAGACTGCATGTGCGTGCGTGTGTTTGGACTCGTACCCCTCTATGGGGTGCAGTGCAATGGCTCTGGGCTTCTCCATGTTCTGCCAGATCAGTACTTTGCGGTGTGTCCCATCCAGGTTTGCCACCTCAATACGGGACGTCCCAGAGTCTGTCCAGTATAACTTGTCATGGATCCAGTCTATGGCCAGTCCACCTTTAAAAGGAGAGAAGAACATTCTGAGTTTGGTTTAAGTATGAACCAATATTTTGTTACTAATGTTACAAGTAGACACAAGCAATGCATACTCTTTAGCTTTTTCAATTTGCTTTGTCTGATAATTATTTGTGTAGCTGTTAGTTCTTATTTTTGAAAGTGTTCTGCTGGTAGAACATCTATCATCTTGCTAGTAATAGTTAATCTAATAAACCTTCATCACCTATTATAATGTCTCTTTTTATAAATCTCAAAAAAAAAAACTCCAGTGAACAAAGTCAAAGTTGTGGATTTACTGGGATCAAGGTGCAGAACTATTTCTTGATGAGTGGGTTGAAGGACCTGTGTTGGACTGAAGCCAAATGGTGTGAAAAATAATAATAACAATAATAATAATGGATTGCATTTATATAGCGCTTTTTGAGACCCTCAAAGCGCTTTACAATGCCACTATTCAGTCACTCTCACATTCACACACTGGTGGAGGCAGCTACAGTTGTAGCCACAGCTGCCCTGGGGCAGACAGACAGAAGCGAGGCTGCCATATCGTGCCATCGGCCCCTCTGGCCATCACCAGCAGGCGGTAGGTGAAGGGTCTTGCCCAAGGACATAACGACTGAGACTGTCCGAGCCGGGACTCGAACCGGCAACCTTCCAATTACAAGACAAACTGCCAACTCTTGAGCCAATTTGCATATCATACCAGTCGCGGCAGATGGACGGCCAGAGGTTTCTTCCTGTTAAAAGGGATTTTTTCCTTCCCAATGTTACCAAAGTGCTTACTCATAGGGGGTCATATGATTGTTGTTTTTTTCTCTTTATGTATTACTACCTTACACCTTGAGCACCTTGAGGCAAGTGTTGCTGTGATTTGGCGCAGTATAAATAAAACTGAATTTAATTGAATTGCTGTGTAAATAAACTGAATTCATAACAATTAAAAACTAATATAGATGGGGACTTTTTAAGCCAATTAAACAAAACTATTAGGCAAATTACTCCTTTCCATGTTTTTTTTTTTTTCTTTCTCTAAAACCGACTCATACAACCTGTACAGATATCATCTGCCTCTCAGGTTCAAACGCTTTAGCTAGCAAGACATTGTGGTGTCACTAGTGCAGCTTTAAAACCAGCTAAATCAATGTCATGATGTAGCAAAAAAATCAAAACAAAATCAAGAAAGGATGTAGCAGCAGATTTGCCTTTGTAGCCTGACTGTAATCACAGCTAACCTCTGGTACAGCGAGAATCACGATACTACTGTATCAGTAGAAAGAATAAATCATGATTATGAAATAAAAACTGCATAACTGATACTACTAGGACAAGTTAAATACATAAGATACAGTGTGTTAGCTGGTGAGCTGTAAGCCTGTCAGGCTAGCCTTTTCTCTGTTTTAAGCGATTATGGTAGGCTAAGCTAAATCTAATATGACTACACATGACTAATAAATCTACATGCACAACACGTGTGCTAGATGATGATCCTTTTAACTTTAAAGAAAGCAAATAATATGTTTTTTAGAAAATTTAGTGGTGAAAGAGATTAAATATGACAGAATAAGACAAAATGTAACGAACACAAATATGTATACAAAAACCACAGATTGAAATAGAAAAGGAGGGTCAGGGTTAGAAATAAAGGAACCAGAGAGAAACTATAAATTAAAAAGACAAGAAGAAAGCACCAAAGACTTTCAAGTTTCACCAGTATTGATGTTATGTTGCTTAACTCATTTATGAATAAGGTGATGAATGAAGTGGAGTGGGGCAGAGTATAGTTGGACAGAAAGCAGAGTCCAATAAATTGGAAACATGATAAATGAGTCTGTTGTCCTACATCTGAACCTGCATCCCATTAGCTGTTTTACCCACCTGGGCTCTCCAGACCGGTGGAGACGACCTCCTCCACATTGGAGCCGTTGAGGTTAGCTTTCATGATGCGGTCCAGAGTCACATCTGACCAGAAGACTAGTTCAAGACTATGATGGAAGTCCAGAGCGATGGCGTTTTCCAGGTTGTTGAGCAGCAAGGTGTACTCGGAGCGATGTGGCAAAACCTGACGGATATCGATGCGGTTGGCAAACAGCAGCACTGGCTCGGGACCTAAAGGGAGGAAAAAAGAGGGACGTGAATGGAGTTGACGTGTGTTAAAGTGAAAAGGAGAATCAAAGGTTAGCAGGTTAAAATTGGCAAGTAACTACACACAAGAGAGATAAATAAAATTCAGTTAGGACCAAAGGTCACTTTAAATGAGACAAAGCATTAATCTGACTGGATATAAAGGTCTGGGTTGCAGCAGCTGTGTGACAGACATGTCTGACCTGCATTTAACTCTGGACTGCAGCAGATTGATGTGCTGCTGCACCAGGTCTGCCCTCTACCTATGCAGCATATCTAAATCGAGTCCAGACCCTCCGAATGAGGTGACCTCAATGCAAGTCCAAGACCCGGCAACAGAGCAGCGGATATAGTTACTGCTGAAACACGTACAAACACTATGCAACTGTACTTTTATTAGAAGTCAAACCACGACAGCTCTCTGCGGTCACATGTCAGGGATGAAACACAGTCCAGTCATTCGTACCCAGAGCTTTGCAGCTGCGCTTGTCAGGTCGGAGCTCGTAGCCCTGAACACACCAGCACTGGAAGCCCCCCTCTGTGTTGGTACAGCCCTGACTGCAGTAGCCTTCTTCAGCACACTCATCCACATCTGGAACAGACCACAGAGACAGAGGAAGGGAGGGGAGGGACATATAGATGTTGGTGTCTTATCTCCCACAGTATTAACAATGACACACATTGTGCAGAAAGGGAAAATTCATTGATGCTTTTGGAGCATATGTACATCATTTTAGTTTTCAAGCCTTTATCTAAATCAGTTTCACAACATGCATGCACACTAACTGTTGGAAGCTGGAAAAAATACATTGAGTAGATTTGAATGTATCTTCATGATTTGGAAGTTCTGGCAAATAAAATGTTTAGCTAGTGGCAGAAATCCAAGATTAGAAGAAGACCAAACAGTCATCAATAACTTTCCAGCCCAAAGAAAAAATTCTTGTGAAATTCCAGCGAAATTTCTTCATACTTTTGGAAAACAACCCTGCTAACAAATTGCAAAACTGACTGACTGGACTAATGAACTTCAATCCCTGGCCGTATTTAGGAAGTTAAAGGCAGGACAAGTAGAGCAAAGTTGTAGTTTTTATAGGTTTGCTTAATTCACTCAGTCAGGATCTGTATTCTACTTTCAGTTTTGGGTTGGTTGCTTATTTGTTGATTCGTTTTCCCCAGACACCTCTAATTCAGTTGATAGCTTGGAGTCTCTCTGTACAATTTAATCATCTATGCTTGGCAAAAGAAAAGGCTTAGCTTAACCAAATTATATGACTGGTTTAGTTCCTAATGTGTAAATTATATTACCAATTTCCAAAAGACCATCTTCAGGCTATAAAAGAAGTGCACGTTGAATGAGTGGAGTGAGGGAGTAGAGTTGTAGCAAACTGAGAACAATTCTTAAAGCACTGTCACATGTAGGAAGTCAGTGAAGCTATCAGATGTTTAACACAAAGTAGCAACTGGCCAATTATCAAACTCTGCAGAGGTCATGAATATTAACACTTGCTACAACCTGCTCACTCACTTTCACTCTGCTGTCTCTCTCTCCAACACACACACATGCGCAAGCAAGCAAGCCAGTGTTACCCTGGCAGGTTTTGCCGTCGTCCATCAGTCGGTATCCAGTGTGACAGGTGCACTGGACCAGTCCTCTCACCATCTGACACTTCTGGGAGCAGCCTCCGTTATTCTGGTTACAGTTGCCCTCGTTGGAGCGTGGCCCTGCGCACAACACAGAAACATTACAGGAACATAAACACAGCATCCTAGCTCAGTATAAATACAGCCGCACACTATAAAAAGTGTCTGACTCATCTACTGTTGGGCCTTAAAATATTTTAGACACACAAGCAGCTAGGCCCGTGGATGGCGATGGCAATCAGGCTGGTCCAGGTCAACATATACAGTATAAACTGCTGTTAAAATTTATGTGAGCATTTATTATACACCCTCAGCTGTTCCAATGGTTTCTGTTGACAGCGTCATCTCACCGAGTCAGCATTAGGACTACATTTTACCTTGATGAAATTGGTATTTGTATTTATAATGGCAGACCAATAAATGTAAAAGTAAAGAGAAGACACAGAAACATCCTTCAAACATGTTATCAGTGTTCCATAATTTATTGTAACAATAAAATAAGATCATTTCTACAATTTAATATTATCTTAGTAAGGACTCATATATAACTTCACATAACAAATGTTAGGTAAATCTGTTTATCATTCTTGTGTCTAAAGAAAAAAACTATCGACTGATGCACTGGATACCAAATGTCGTCATTGCTATCTGCCTTTAAACTCTTTAAACTATTATGTAATCGTCATATTGGTGTCCAGATACCGATGTCACCATTCTTACACTTACGGCAGTCATGGTGTGGGTGTTCATCAGTCCCGTCACCACAATCATTGACCTCATTGCAAACCTTCCGCAGGCCTATACAACGGCCATTCCCACACTGGAACTGATCAGGGGCACATGGAGGACTGTCTGTGAGGAGATACAACACAGATCTGATAAGTGAAACACTTTTCTACGCCATATTTATCCAAGTAGTTCTCCCTTAAATATCTAAATAGTATGTGCTATGGTTGTGACAGTCAGTTGCCTGCCATGTCTTTAATTCCCTGTTGTGGTTTAAGTCCCATGTATGTACGTATTTAATGTCGTGTGTGCGTGTGTACCCTATGTAACATGCAAGCATGAACAACAGGTGACTGTGCATGGACTGATGCACATAAGCAGGTTTAAAAATGACACAATGGATTTGAATAGATCATTAAATATGAATAAAATGGTGTGATGAGCAATAAAAGAAACATTTCAGGGATTCACAGGTTTCCTGCAAAGCTGAACTTCTTTATCGCCATGCTTCCTTTTATTGGTGGATAGTATCCAAAAACAGAATAAAAAGTTTCCATCTAGCTTTTTTCCCTCGCTGCCTGTTCACTGTTATTTTAATCACAATACACAGGCCTGTCTCTGCGGTTCGTCTTTCCACAGCACAGTGAAGGAACAGACCAAAAAAGAAAAAAAAAAAAAACTGAACTTTTTTTCCTTTTTTTGAAATGCAACTGTGTTTCCCAACAGAGAAGTTTCTCAGCAGAGGGCTGTTCAGAGCTGTTGTCATGGTTACTGTTGAAGCTTGTACTATTTTTAGCGCCTGAAAACAAGATAACAACCAGAGCCTTACCAGTTTTCTCACAGCCCTCTTCATCGCTGCGATCCGAGCAGTCGTCCTCGCCATCGCATCTCCATGACAACCGGACACAGCGTCCAGTTCCACAGCGGAACTGATCGGCCGTGCACATGGACGTGGCTGCAGGAGACGCACATAAACATACATATTACTCTTATAGTTTTAGATCAGTCATTAGGACTTCAGTCATTATGGGTGAATGCTTTTTTGAAATAATGACGGAAAAAGAAGAAATGATTAATTTTTAACTGATTTGTTCATTAATTCTGGACACCAGCTACTCACTGCAGTTCTTCTCATCTGAACGGTCGTCACAGTCGTGCTCGCCATCGCACCTCCATGCAGCATTGATGCACATCCCGCTGCTGCACATGAATTCCACTGATCTGCATGGCTGATGTGAAGCTAAATAAACACACATATATACAACTGATTTAGCCTGGAGTTATATATAAATCTAAAAAATATATAAAAATATACACAAACTGTGCAGGTTACAGGTCCACTTCCTTGCTATAGCAAGCATGAAAAGGAGGCTCGTTTTTAATGGTATGACAGTCTTTGAACATCCCTGTATTATAACCACTGGTAAGTCCAGCTGTTTAATTTCTTATTAAATAATCACCTTTTATGAGTCATGCCTTTCGTGTGAGACTTGCATGTTTTAATTTGATGAGGGCCAAGAAACATGTAAGATGCTGTCTCAACATGTGGGATAAAGTTCTAAAAATCCTGCATAGTGACGACACAAAGTGAGACTAGCGACAGCGGATAGGTCACCTTAGCTGTCAGCGGAGTTCTTTTTTTGCGTATTTGTACTTTACTTGCACGCCACAAATGCTCAGTAGCGCCTCAAGGTGGTGCTTTTCTTCATTCCTGCTGTATTCAGCTACAGTCATACAAAGACACTGATGGAAATTTGTTCTGCCACAAATGCAGTGCCACGCAGAACTGACATGGTACAAAAGCTGTCAAGTACTGCATAACAAAGCACTAGTTCACTGTCAGAGCACCTTCTCTGGCTAAAGTAGCCCTCTTATTGTTTCTCCATACTTCCGAGAGGTCGTTCTGCAACCACAACTCTGCAAATATATCAGCAATCACAGGTTCATCGACAAATAATGACACATACTAACAAGCATTGTGGTGTGTTCAGGTTGACCAAATTTCGATCCCATTACCTTTTAGTCTATTCAGATCAGGTCTCTTTTGGTACCCTTTTGTTTATTTTGGAAAAGTAAGTCATCTACAAGTTTGCACCATGTCTGATCCCACTTATGCACCTTTGAAGAGTGAAAGTTTTGTCACAAGATCACAGAATAAACATTTTTACTCTATCTTCTCTGAGCGCATTCCACATACCTAAACATATATTACTTTTCCCACATATAGTAATTAGATCTGCTTACTTAAGCTGCTGCATGATCATCTCTAAGCGGAGATCATAAATGTCCCACCTTTAAATCACCCACCATCATCGCTACATGTGATTAGATCAAAGTGAAGCTCAAACTGGCAGCAGATGACGACGGAGGTGGATGAGAAGATTAAAGCTGAATCAGACATAAGCATCTTAAACCCTTCATCCGTGTGTGAGCGTGTATTTCTTCGACGCGTTTCCTCATGACAGGACGAGTCGGCTCCCATCGAAGCTACAGCAGGCATGTGAGTCAAGACAGTTTCTAGCAACGCTGTGCAGGCCTGTCAGCTGGGCAAGAAACGATCAAAACAGCAGGTGGCTTTCCCACAAGAGAGAAGCTGAGAGAGAGAGACTTATTGGCCAAGGGAATTAGCGTGGGACACCAACTAACACACCGACACCCGCGCACACACCCAAATGATTCATCCCCCCTTTTCTATCTCTTATTCTCTCCCTCGCGCACACACGCACACAAAAACAGCAACTGAGCTCTTTCATCTGCTCAGCCACGCAGCCCAAAGCGGCATCAGTGGTAACGAGGCTTGCAAGTGTGATCTCTTTTGGGTGTGTGTGTGTGTGTATTCACATAAGGGGGAGAGAGGGAGTGAGAGAGAGTGTCGACTTCTCTAACAAAGCGCCCTTCATGTGTCTGGAGAGTCCGTGCCAAGGAATGCTGTCTGAGGATGGGCTGTCTTATGCCTCTCAGAAATGCCTTCTCTGTCTAAGTGTGTGTGTGTGTGTGTTTGTGTACAAACTACAGCATAAAACAGAATTTACTAGGACTTAAATTACTAAAAAGAAAAAAGAACGCTCTCGCCCTGAACCATTCTGAGTCAGAAATAAATAAATATAACAGGAAGAATAACAGGCAGTGTGAGAGTGAAGGACAGCCACAGGGGACACGCAATCATCAGCGAGGACCTGAAACAAACCTTGAACAACACTTTGTTCATTTAGATCTGTTATGTGCCTCTGTATTTCCTACACACAGTTATCTAAAGTATTTCTTAAGGTCTTTCTGCTGCCCCTTTTGTGCTTTTCCCCCCCCTTTCAAATACGCTTTGATGCCAGCTCAACTTTCGAAAAAAGTTCGACACTTCAAAAGTGAGGCAGCAATTAAAAAACCTGGATGTGGGAGGAGATGAGAGGAAAAAACAGAGAGCTGCTCAGTTGAATAATTTGACCTTACAGATGATCAAACGATGTTGCAAAACTTTGAAGCCGTGCTTATTGCGCTGCAGATAAACACATCAAAGTGGGGGGAAACCACTGGGCTCGAGCGCATGTGTCTGTGAAAGAGCTGGATGTGGTGGGCAGTTAAAAGATGATGAGCAAATGAACGTGAGAAATCGGAGACAAGGGAACAGGGAGGGGAGAAGCCGAGAGATTAGTCAGCAGCAGGCAGCGTCTCTGGAGCGAGGCGAACGAAACATGATAGTCTATGTCAGGACTGTGGCTTCCCTCTGCGTGTGTGTGTGTGAGCGTGTGTGTGTGTGGGTGCGTGTGAGCGAGAAAGAGAGAGAGATACAGTGACAGCACAGATCTAACAGAGTGCTTTCCAGTTATGACACAGGCTGTCGAGCAACAGCTGTTCCTGAGCCCAACCTGCCATCAACAGAACGTCGGGATGTGAAATCAGCAGTCAGTGTTTTACAATGAAGCTCAATTTTCGTGCAGCTACCAGAGGGCCTTTCTTACAACACATAAACACTATTATCAAAGAATCAGCTTTCAAGATTACAGACAGTGAATCAACAATTCACATTTTTTTCTTCTTCTGTAGAGTCACTTTGCATCAAATCCAATGGTAAAATACCCACCTTATCAACCTCAACTATGGCAAAAATGCCACTTCCTAACAGCTCTTTAGTGTTTCTGGGGACACAAAAACATCATGGAAGTGACAAGCTAACAGTAAATGGCTGAAAGAAAATGTGTATCTACAGTACTATATGACTCATGTGATTAAAACATACATTTGATAACCCTGCGCTTCTTTTAAGCGTCTCAGCGCTTTGGTTTCTGTCACTTCTGCAGAAGGTCCGTCACATTCATGTTTCCCCACAAACACTTTAATTTTGTTTTGTGATTTTTTTCCCTCTTTTTTTTTTAATATTTGTTGGTGTTTTCCTAAGTTGCGGCCCGTGTGACCTCTCAGGGCCACCATATATTTGGTTGCTTTGAGCAACAGGTGCAGGTAGAGCAGTGGTAGCTGCTGGCAGTGTGAAAGGCGTCACCTTGACCAATTTGAGTTAAATGGACTGAAACTTTATGGCTGTTTGTGGTTTCAGTGCCTTCTGGGACAACTTCAGTGCAATTACACAAGATGTATTCTCACTTATAAATGGGAAATCATTTGATTCTTAGACAGCCATCATTTTTTGTTATTAGTATTAATGGACAAAAACAAATAATACTCAAGTCAAATTATCAAAATAACCAGTAGTTGAAGCAACATCAGTTACATGCTGCATCTCTTTTACAGATGTTTTACTGCACTATGGCTGTTCGATATAACGATATATATCAGATGACGATATAAAAAC